TTATATTCCAACGGAAAATCCTATGGTAATATATTCCAATGGAAATTCCAACGGATATTCCAATGGTATAGCTTCCGTTGGAATCATTCCAACGGAAATTCCAACGAAAATATTGCGTTGGAATGTATTTTTTATTGAAATTTTAGATGGAATTTGATGATTCAAACAGCTATATTTCCAACGGCTTTTGACCGTAGGAATTTCCGTTGGAATATGTAATTTCCGTTGGAATTTTTATTTCCATCGCCGTTGGAAAATCTACCGTTGGAATCGTCAAAATCCAACGAAAATTTCAATGGAAAACTCATTCAAACGGAATATTTTTGTTAAAATTTCCGTTGGAATAATTCCAACAAAAATAATAACATTAAAATATACATTGAAATTGTCGTTGGAATTCTATTGGAATATAATTCCATTGAAATTTCATCATTTTCTTATAGTGACAAAAAAGGTCAAATTCTCCGATTTTTCTTTGTAACAATTTTTCATGATAAATAACGATCTCTTTTAGTTGAATCTGTAGATATTTAAAGCAATTAGCCACAAAAGCAAAAGGGGAAAAAATAAGAAGGGCGATGAAAATGATCATTGGGTCTTTTGAATATGTTAAAATAAAAAAATTGTTGCCAACATCATCATCAGGAAAGCCATGCATAGACCGATTTTTCTGCAAATATCACGCCTTAAGACTCCCCTCAATTATTCCAAACTCATCATCACTAATCATTTCCAAGGCTACCAATCAGAGCAAACTCATAATAGGAAGAGCACTCACAATGCTTTGGGTCTCTTAACAAAAAATCACATGCCATATAGAAAATAGACCTAGTCTATAAAAAAATATTTCACAATGCAATTAAAAGTAGACCTAGTCTAACTTATGTGGCAATAAAAAAAGAGACTAAGTCCACACTTGAGTCTATTTTGGACCCAAGTACAAACCCAAACACTCATCATTTATTCCTAATTTAAATTTTCTTTTAATAAAGGAAACATAGTAGAGTATTTTTATTGGTTGACATTTATGCTAGACCTAGTATTTTATTTTTGCATTGAATAACTTTTGAGTTTTTTTACTTAGGTTTGTCCATGTCATTTAAAACTTAAGTCTATTTATATGCCACATATATAAAATTAGACCCAATGCATTGTGGATGCTCTAATTGGTCATGGTAGAATTTGAGCCAATGTTGACCGAAAGTATTAAATCTATATCTATATATATTGAAAGAAAGAGGTAAATAAATCATATGAGGATAGTTTTAAAAAAATTGTTGTCAACCAAGTTGACTTACTGAATATGGCAACCATTTTAAAACATCCGAAAATTAATTGTGGCCGTATGTAGTCCTTTTTTTTTTTGCCGTATATAACAATTCACACGCTTTTGAGGACATGAGATTCTATTTTTCACTACAATTCTGTTCCATATTCCGTGGAAATCGTGGAGATAAATGAGTATTACAATTCTGTTCCATGTTCCATTTAACAATCCTTATTTTAGGTGAAGATAAAAGAGGCCTAATTTGTTTAATATCCTAACAAAATCATTCTATATTTTTCGTTGAGATAAACATGTAGAGAAAGTATGTGTATAAAAGAGTATTAACTCATATCCTTTTTTCCAAAAATTACAAATCTTTGACCTTTATCCCCGTGTAAAGAAAAAAACCTCTTTACTCCCGTCTGTCAACTCGGTCTTATTCCCTTCTTTGTCAAACATGGGACTCGAGGCCGAGAAAAGAAGACAACCGCCGAGGCTTCGGCGGAGGAAAAAAACCCTCACGAAGAAGCGCTGTTGGAGAAAAGAAGAAGATGGTGAAAAGAAGCGTGCAGACGTACAAGATCTACATCTTCAAGTTGCTGAAGTAGAATCCTCTACCACCACCGCGCAGCGCTGCATCTCGCCGCCCTCTGCCAACGAACTCACCACCACCGCCATCCTTTGCCGGTGCACTTTCCTACACCGTGTATTTTCCTTTATCTCTCTGCACCGATCTCCTTCGAGCTCGCATCTCGAGCAACGCCATTACCTCCTATCCTAACCAGTCGTCGTTTCTCCTCAAGTGCCGCAATTAAGGCCGTCTTCTCCAGGTAATTTAAGATCGTTAACATTTTGTTTGTGCTTTTGTTTGTATGGTCTCTGTATAGTTCATCTGACCAAATCTAAATTCTAATCTGCTACTGCTAATGGGCAATTGGTTCAATGAGTAAAAAATGGATTTTTTTTGTTCGTTTATTTTTGCTTTTTCTTCATTTCAATTGGGGTTTTGATGTTCGACTGAATCGTGTCCGTCTTCAACTTTTTGAATCATTATGGCAGCATTGCAATTTTATGAGGTTTCCTAATTGTGTTATGCCCAATTTTGAAGATGATTTTGTTACATTCTTTTATATCTAATGAAAATGAAAAATGAAATATTTTAGAATATTCGAAGAATGACACAAGACTGTATTTCCTCTTCACTGAGTGGATGAATTTGTGATATGATGTTAGTATGGCTTTGTTGAGGGGCCAAATTGTTATAACGAGGATTTTGAAATATATCTTACCAAGATCTATGTTTTTTTATCTTTGTCCCTGCCCTAACTAACCAATTATAAGAATAAAGTCTAATGATTTGAAGCATGTTTGGACCTGTTCATGATGTAAGGATTCCATATCAACAGAAAAGATTGTTTGGGATTATGACATTTGTGTACCCGGATACCATTAAGATCATTTTGGCCGAAGGGAATCCTTATCGTGTTTGTGATTTATGTGTGCTTGTGAAACCTTACAAGGAGAAGGGCAAATTCAAAGAGAAACACTTTTTCTTGACTATCTTTATAGTTCATGAAACTCAGTAAGATTTAGCTTGCTAACTTGACCTTCCCCTCACTTTTTATATACTTATTAGAATTATTTTAACTGAAACCATTTGTAGGAAACAATATCTGCAACAGTGCTTAAGCCCATCTGGACTTGATTCCACACCCCCTTTGGTAATGTAGCTCACATGATTTGGTTGTTTTGTCTTTGATGAATTATGAGTTTATGCGCTTATGTTTCTTATCTATTTAGTTTTTGCATAACAATAAAAAATAAAATATTCAGGGCCTAGAATGTTATTAAACTCACGAGAGATGATGCTGAGGAAAATGGAGCATGAGGCAGAGATGAAGCAGGCCATTGAACTCCAGGGCAGAAGAACTCCGCTGGGTCCATTAATCAAGAAAATTAGCAAACTTGATAGCGTGCTCCTTAAATTCATCATAAGACGAAGATAGAATCATCATCCTGTTAACATCACATATATCTAAATTAATCCTGTTAACATCATATATATCTAAATTAACCTTGGACTGATATTTGCAGAATTTGATGACTGCAAAGAAACAACTGTTGAAGCTGATGAGAAGAGGGGCTGGAAGGTCACAATTTTTTTGCTGACAACAATATTAATGGTGGAGATACGTTGAATAGGGGAATAGTGATGAATCTGAATTACAGGAAGGCTATGTGTTTTGTCTTCAGAGAATATGCTCTAGATTTGGAAATTACGCTAATGTCGTTGAATAAATCGTTCAATACAAGTTTATCGCTGCTATTTTATACCTTCAAATAAAATTGTGTAATTATATGTTGAAAGCATTTATCGGGGGAGAACATCGTGGAAGTGGTAAAAGAAGGTTTTTTGAGTTGCCGTAGCCAAGTCAGGATTTTAGTTTTGTTAAGACTCAACCAGAAAGCCAAGTCATGCACGCCCTTAGTCTGCGGAATTATTTTTCATGGTGTAGTGGATGTAAAAGATTGATTGATGTACCTTGTGCCTCAAACGTCTTGCTATCATTTGTAGCATGTGTTATTATTGATTTTACAAATAAGATTTTTATTGGAAAAGGTGACAATATTCCTGAAGAGAAAATTTTAGTTTTATTTTTAATTTATTTAAATAATTTTATTAATTACATTAATGAATAATATTAATGTACATGAAATATTTTTATTACATAAAAAAAAAGAAGATTACTTCTATAATTTTTATAAATAATAATAATGGCATTATATGACAACAAATTTTATAATAAAATAAAAATTAAATATTATGTGGTGAACAAGAATAAATAATATTATTATTTTTTTCTTTTATCAAGGAATAAATATATATCATATAATCAAATTTTTATTATTATAAACGTGTTGTCGAGATAATATATTAACTAATTTATAGACTTGCGCTAACCGATTCAGGTTTAATAGCTAAAAAAACAATGTTGATCCAAAGAAGAGGTGGAAGAACAAATGGTCTAACTCTACTGAGGTGGAGAATAGATGATCCAACTTTATATATATATATATATATATATATTCATGCCTAAGAAACAAACTATATGAAAATGACTCATTTAACATCTTAGTCCCGTGCATCGCACAGGCTACATACTAGGTTTGTGTTAAAACAAATTATTTTTTCAATTTATTTCTAACTGAGTAGTTAAATAAATAATTATTCGATATAAATTATTCACCTATTAAATATGTCACATGTATTGCACCAAAAAAAAAGGTCACATTTATATATTTTAAGCTCAATTAAAGGATTTCAAGTGTCACTTTCTTTAAGATTTTTCTATGAAAACTTTAAATTCGTTTGATAATTCTTTTTTTAAGAAATAGTCAAAAGTATTATAGATTATTTTTCACGGAAGCATAGATATTTTATAAAAACTAAAAAAATCACATAATTACAACTAGAAAACACTAGAATAGCCAAATAGTCGAATCTAGGAGGCCTACACGAAAGTAGCCTAGAAGCAACTACACTAATGCACCCACATCACAACAAACAACTTCCAACAGGAGAATATCACGCCCCGAGCAGGAGAAAAATCGCTCCCAAATAGGACAAAAGACGACAACACAACAACTAAAACACCAAACAAACCACAAACACTAAACAACACGCACGAACAAATACACAACACGAAAACAAACAAACACACTAAAACAAAAGCAAAATAAACAAATAAAGTCCTTCCCCAGCAGATACACCAAACCCAACACAAAGCACCAACGAACACATGGCTGACCCCAACAGACTGAGAAACCGCTCCTGAAACTGCCAACAAAAGCCTAATTGAAGCCGAAACCCAAATCCAAAACCACTCCAGGAGTCGACCCGCCCCTCAGCCGAAGGAACACCAACCTCACTTCCCCACACCACCATTGCCCTGAACCCAGCCAACACCACTTGTTGAGTTCGACGACACCAGCTTCCTCACGAACCCCATGCACGGAAATAGAGGAATAGGAAGCAAGAGAGGTGCCTCAGCCCCGGCCACTCCGACAAAGATGCAGCAAGCAGCCCGAGCCACACCCAGCCCCCGATGCCACGCCCACCCGAAACTATCGAGACACCAAGGATGCTGAAGAACCTCGACAACGAACCGGCACCAGATTCTCAAGAAATCCGGCCGAGGACGGTTGCCCACAACCCAGCACGGGCGGACCAGAAAAAGAGCACCCTCGAGGCCACGGTCGTGCGGCCAAGGGACGACCGCCGACAAAGGCTGGCTAGCTGCTGAGGAAGGCTCACAAGTAGCCAAGGAAAAGTCAGAGGCAGCGGACTTGGGTGAACAGAGAAAAAATTTAGGGGAGAGAATTTTGTATTATAAAGATTCTTAATATACTATATTTGAGCAGTTGGGAATCAATTTTTAATGACAGTTTTTATTTATCAAAAATATTCAACAAAATTGTGTTAATACATTGTTAAGAGTTTCTCTATTTCCTATTTGTGTGAGGGTAGTTTACTAAAATTTTAAAGTAGATATTTTCGTGAGCACATTGCATTTTTGGTCCTTTATGTTCTAGAAATTGAATTTTGTCCCGTATGTACACAAAAAGGTTGCAATTTCGACCCGACGAAAAATTTAGGGGGTGATTGTTTATGAATTCATCTACAAATTTATTGGTTTTTTTTTTTTTTTAACTATAGTTACTTTTGAAAAAAGTTGGTATGGTTAGTTGTTAGTGAATATATTAAAATAATATTTAAAATAAAATAATTAAAGTTAATATGATGTAAAAGTAAGAGAAAAATGATTGGAAGTGGTGGTTAGTTAAAATTATGTGAGAAGATGAATAATGAATTAAAATTGATGTGATGTGTAAGAATGATTGGTTGATATTATTTAATAATATTGGTAATATTGGATATAGTGGAGTTGGGTTAAAGTTGAGTTAAATTTGAGTTTTGATTGGTTTTTTTTAGGTGAATTGATAAACAATCACCCCCTTAATGTTGTTGGATTTTCACACGTGTCATCCAAGTTAACTGAAAATTGTTGACGTGGATCCCATGTGATATGGGATACTATACCCGAGGGAGTAAACCGGTCGAGCAAGCCGGTCAAGTAAGCCGAAGAAACCACCTAATCGAACGAAAGCCGAGAGGAGTCGTCGTGGTCAAGCCGTACAGAATTAAGAGCCTCTGAATCGGAAAGACATTTTAAAGGGGATTTAAGTACATGGAGCGGTAGGTCAAGCAGAGCCCTCAAACAGGCGGCATAATCTGATTGGTTCATACCTCATAATCGTTTATGACACATCTTCAGTGTGTGTTGTAAGACCGGACAATTCGGGCAGCTTGGGCAGCTAACTCAACATATCCGGGCAACCTTCTAGAAATAGGTACCTCATCCCTATATATAGGGGTGAGATGTTCATTTTTTAGGATTGCGTTCATTATACTCGGGAAAATTCATCTTCTATACATACTCATTTAAGCATCAGAGACTATTCATCGGAAAATCCCTCCAGTGTGAGAGTTTTTGCAAGTACGAGGCGTTCTATCGGCGAGGAAGCATTCGATCAACCAATTTCCAGCCGGTCGGAGGGTCTTATGTTACCATATTGTAATATTAGCATAGTTGTCAAAACTGGACCGGATCGGCCGGTCCGACCGGTTGAACCGAGAACCGGCTAGTTCATCGGTCCGGTTCAATGCAAGAAACCGGCTGTGGCCAAAACGGTCAATGACCTGTCGAACCGGTCAAAACTGGTTGGTTCAACCGGTCATTTTTTTTTTTTTTTTTTTTTTTTTTTTATTATTTTATTGCTTAATCTATATATGGTGGAACCAATCTTTTAAAAAATAAGTCAACTATATTTTAATATTTATAAAGTATTATATATTTAAAATATCAATAAATAAATGATTTGAAAATTAAGTTAACTATATCTATAAAATATTATATATATATATATATATAGATTTAAAAATATCAATAAATTAAATAACGGTCCAACTGGTTCAACCACTGGTCGGACCAGTGAACCATTGAACCAGTAGCTTGACCGGTTCAATGACCGGTCCGGTTTTGACAACCTTGAATATTAGTAATATATATGTTGAAAACCTGCTCGGAGTAGGATAGTAATTCTATATTCTGAAGGGGTGTAATGATTAGGTCCGATCATATAAAGGGAAGACATTTGTAGGTCCATTACATGTTTGATTAATGTCCCCAACGAAGTTGATGCTTAGTTTTTTTTATTATGTTTGTCGTTGGTTTAGTTCCTATCAAGATATATACAACCAATATCAAATTGGTGTTCCAAGGTCGCATAATTCGCTTATTGCATCGACAATGGTGTGTCATGACTCATGTGTAATACAAATTAATGTTGCTTTCATCTACAGAAAAATGTCGGGCGAGATGTTGAGGCTAAAGGGCTCAACCCGAGATTGATTTTAGTGGGTGGGCTACTGTTGTTATTCTTAGTCAGGAATCACGTTCTTTACATGTATGCCCAAAAGGTCTTACCCCCGGAGAGACAGAAGCCCGTCTCGAAGAAAAAGATTAAGAGGGGAAACATTGTCATGGAGCGCAAAATATACGAAATACATGAGAAGTATTATTAAAATTGTAGTGCCCGGCCCGTTCGATTAATAAGAGATAACTCGTTTTATGTGATTCTTGAGTGCATTGCATTGCATGTCATTTTTTTTTTTTGTCAAGCTCGACTAAGTCAATACGTTCATTAAGATTATTTAGATGTCATCATCTATTTAATCAAATTAGTTAAATAATTTATATAGATGTCTTCGTCTACTTAAATTATCCCAATTTTATTTCCTTTGCTAAGCAAATTGTTCAAAAATTTGTGTTCTAAGTGAAACCAATCTCGCGAGCCTTGTTCTAGCCTAACTTTTCCAAGCAAACCCCAAAGATTTTCGGCCATATTAAGCCCAAAAATTCGGCCCTTATCTACCCAAGCAAAGCCCAAAGACTTCACGCAGCCACGCCTTGCCGAGACTCCATCCGCGAGCACGAGAAGTAGCCGAGAGGAGATCCGAGAGCAGCCGTGTCCAACCTCGATCGAGCACTCAAATCCGATCCCTCATTCCCTTTGTAGATTCAAGAAGAGAGGTAGATTCCAAATTCCTCTTCTTGTTGTTCGGCATTAACCAGTCCCGCTAGGAGTATCACATATTATATGTTTTATATTTCATTAAATAATTCGTATAAATTTTATTATTGAGAACTAGTATAAATTTTATCATAAAGGATTAGTTGCAGAAGTGTTAGAAATTAATTCGCATAAATCGAAGAGCTCTTGGATTCTTATTAATTATATGTATTATAGGATTTTAGGGGCGCAAACAAATAAAGTAAAGAGAAGATTAATTTCATTAATTATCTAATTTTCTTGTATATTTATTGTCTACATTTTGTCATGGATATTATTTATATTTGTTTTCTTTCACAGTGACGAACAATGATGGAACAACTTAAG